AAGAGGCCTGGGCACATGGAAAAATCAGGGTTCAGTCTCTGATGAGGCAGAGGGCTGGCTCTCCCCTCCAAGCAGCTTCCAGAAAAGGCCGAGTAACCCCCAGACTGCACTGGTTTCCACAAAGAGCTTGGCCTATGCATGGGAAACTTCACACTTCAGTGGGCAGTCGATTCCTCCTCGGCCAACACTGTTTGGTGACCCCTGCTCATGCAGCTGCACCCAGGACCTGGCTGGCATTCAGCAGCCCTGGCCTGGCAGAGGGATCCCTGGAGGATTTCCTCGTGATTAACTTGTGTGCAATGTTACCACTGGAGCTCTGTGGTGGTCAGTGGAGAACTGGCAGAGGAGCTGCCCTATGCCCAGAAACCTGGGGTACCAGGCTTGTGGAGCGTATCCAGAGGGGCACCTGCAGACTCAGGGGAGCAGAGGAACATACTGCATTGATACAGCGGCCTCCTCCCTTCTCTCTGCCTCTCCAACAAGCTAAATGGAAAAGGGTCAGGGGGGCTATCCAGGCTAGTTATGTCCACTACTAAAGTTAATGCGCATCTTCTCCTTCTGCTCTAGGTCAGCAGCCATCCATAAAAGAAACCCCCTTGCCTGACCTCCCCAAAAACCTGGTTGGTGGCTATTGCGGGGACAGAGGCTGCATGAGGTCACCATCAGTGCTCCTAAGAGTTGGCACAGGACACAAGGAGCTGATGGTTGCAAGGGAGCAGCTTTGCACACCAGACAGGCATGCATGCACACAGTCCAACAACTAAGTCTCCAGGAACATACCTGCAGGGCAGGGTGACATTCAGTTGCATTACTAAGGATACTCAATGTCTGTCCAGAAAAACAAAATCCCCACTTAATTTTCATAGATTTCATAGACGTTAGGGCTGGACTGGAAGGGACCTTGGAGATCATCAAGTTCTTTTCACTAGTTCTTGGACAGCCCACTCGGGTAAGTGCGTATCACAACCATCCCGGCCTTGCAAATGGTGGTTGAGGATGCTTAAGCCATTTCAGGCAATGTTCAGACATTCCCAGCTCCAACTTTGTGTGAGCTACCTGCATGGCAGATAGGGGTAGGGCTGCTGGGGGGCTCTTTCACCACAGTGGCAAAGACAAACTCTTGTCCTGATCACAAGGAGATAGTCAGTTTTAGTAAAGCGCTCTCACACCAGGAACACAGTCACACTGCTCTGCCCGCAGGTGTCACAGCCCAAATGGTTGGACTATGAGTGTTGATTGATCACACCCTTGTCATGAGCCAGGGCATGAGTTCAGAGGTGCTGGGCTCGACACTGGCCCATCGGCTTCCCCTGACAGAGGCGCATCTCTGACTTTGATGTCAGGAAGCCAGCAGACAGAAGGTGGGCTGACCGAGGCAGGAGCTTTCACGGGAGTGACCTACCAGATGACTTTCCAGTTCAAACTGCACAAGGTGATGGAAGGAAGAGAGACGGAGGTCTCATTTCCTTTGCCAGCTGCTGAGGAATGGTGTTGATGAAAGGGCTGGGGCCTCAGCCCTTAGATCAGCCGTGGGAGCAAAGAAGAAAAGCAAGGTGAGAGCGTGGGGTTAAGACTTGTCTGTTAAGAGCAACAGGAAAGGCCAAATGGACTCAACTTCAGTAGCCAAGTCCCTGCGGAAGACAAGGCGCTCCAGTGATCCCTGCAGGCAGCCTGGTCTAAGCTGGCTGTAACAGATGCCATTTCCACAACTTTTTTTTAACTTTGCAGAGTTCACAAAGGAGCGTGGTATCAATCTGCCTAGCAAGGAATAAGGACTGTGGCATCTTATGGGAAGATGATTTTAAGATGCTTTTTAGATTTCCATTCTGCCACTTCTCACATCTGGAGTCCTGTCTTCAGCTGTGCCCCCCCCCCCACTACAGAAAGGATGTGGACAAGTTGGAAAGAGTCCAGTGGAGGGCAATAAAAGTGATGACGGGGTGAGGAACATGGCTTATGAGGAGAGGCTGAGGGAACTGGGCTGATTTCGTCTGCAGAAGAGAAGGCAGAGAGGGGATTGAATAGCAGCCTTCACCTCCCTGCAGGGGGGTTGCAAAGAGGATGGAGCTGGACTTCTCTCAGTGGGGGCAGATGGCAGGACAAGGAGCAATGGGCTCAAATTGCAGGAAAGGAAGTTGAGGTTAGATATTAGGAAGTAATCTCTCACTAGAAAGGTAGTAAAACACTGGGACAAGTTACCCAGAGAGATTGTTGACTCTCCATCCTTGGAGGATTTTAAGACCCGGCTAGACAAAGCCCTGGCTGGGATGATGTATTTGGGGCTGGTCCTGCTTGGAGCAGGGGGTTGGACTAGATGTGACCTCCTGAGGTCCCTTCCAACCTGAATTTTTTATGATTCTCTCCTACCAGGAAGTTCTCTGTTGAGCAACCATCCTTCAGCCAAGGAGTGATCCAGATGATGGCCCATAAATTGATATTTGGGAAGGTGCCAGGGGTTTCTTTTACTCCCTGAGCTGCTGAAAACAAGTGAAAGCACTCTTGGTCTACAGCGGCACAGGTTTTTCCAAATCACCTGGTACAATATAATCCACAGCAACTGGAAAAGGTGTTATTTAGCATCTCTTTAGAAACAGTGATAAGGCAGGCTGTGGCAGCTGTTGAGGTACTACAGATATCAAAAAAAGATTTCAGATTCACCCAAGGAACCTTGTCTGCCTATGTCCTCGGACCAACATGGCTACAACCTACACCCCTGTTGAGGTACTATGCCATTGTAATCCCATTGGAAATATTTGTGTGTGTTAATGTCCTGAATTGAAGGTGCAGTCCCTGGCAGAGGTGGGGAGACTCAATGAAGTGTCAGACAGGATCATACCACTACTGACCTAATCTTTAAGGCAGGTTTTTTGGAGGTAGCTAGCTGGCTGCATGACTGTGCTGATGGCATTGTCTTATTAACTTATTAGTTTGATGAACCGCTGCAGTTTGTAGTTGATTTGGCCAGGCAAAAAGCACCGTTTATTAGTTTGATTCTCAGATTTGGACAAATCTAAGCCCACAGCCATGAACTATCAAGATGTAGACTGGTGGTTCCCAAATCACGAGGCCTATGAGTGCAGCCATAAACCCGAGAGAAATGCAGTTTCACCTATTATTTCAGGAAGAAAGAAAACCAGTGGTAGAAATGTGGCACTGTTGTCAAGATGCCTTCATCTGATCACTTCTGGGGTCGACCACAGCTGGCAAGCTGGTGCTTGGGGGTGCTCTTCTCTAGCTGATTTCTCACGGTCTATGTGCTACTCAGTGTTGGGTCATATCCTTCTAGCATTTGCTGTTTGTGCTTGTGAATACCACATTTACAACATTTGTAGTTGCCTGTGAGAATATCATCATGATTCCTTCAAAAAAAAGTATCCGTTTCAAGCTCTAGCAGTAACATTTATTGGCATCAGCCACATCACCAAGGAGGATGCAAGGACTATGCTCAACAGGACAAAGACATTCTTTGGTTGCTCATGTGTTGTGGTTGAACAACGAAGAAAAGCCACAATGCATTCTGCGTCACGTGGCGTTATCTGCAGAAATCACAAAACCAAACAAACTTAAGCTGTGTTTGGAAACATCGGGGAAAGCATATGGGGAAAACCAAAGTAATTTGTCCAGTGTCGCAAGGGGGAAACTGTTGTTTCAGAAATTATGATTCAGGAGGGCTTGGTCTCTGAGAACCTCGTTTGAGGCAGTGCACAGAGTAAGAAACCTCACATAACTAGGGAAGATGGTTTTGCCCACTGTTGATATGGTAAAAGTTACATGTGGGAGATCCAAGGTAAATTAAAGCTATATGATTCTCCCATTCAGTGAAAAAAAAAATCAAGGCCATCGTCCAAAATCAGTAAAACATATTGGTCGACTGCAAAAATACACCATGTGCATGTCAAGCAGATGTCAACACTAAGAGCCGTGTTGCACATTTCTGGCCCATCTGAGCTACATATGGGAAGAAGATATTTTTGGGGACGTGGTTTTGACTCCTTCCCAGACATGAGATCGCAGGAAAAAATGGTTTGATGCTCTTTGTAGCTATATACAAAAAAGAAATATCCGTGGGATCACAGGGCTAGATTCTTCCTTTACGGCTGGCTACACATCAGGCCGGCAGGCCTGGGTGAAGGAAGTTGTGCCGTCAACTCTGTGGTCAAAATGCATAATTCACTGAAAACAAGTGACATCAGGAGATCTGACCCCATACTCAGTGGGATTTTGAAACACGTTATTTTAATAAACTATGTCAATGCTTTGCTGGTAAGGGCTTGTCTATTGGCCAAGTTGCGTGAGAAAACAGGATCAGAGCATGGCGTATTAGTTTCACACACGCAAGGTGGGTGCTTTCCAGAGGAAAATTTTTGGAAAGCTTCTTTGGACCGAGACACAAGCTACCTACACATACAACGGATGCCAAGAAATCTGAACTGAATCAAGTACTCTTGTAAAATGATGAATTGCCTAGTGCATTGGCTCTTCACCTTCCCCCACAACCTTGCTACCTGGAAACCACCAACCACCAAATCCCGTTGTGCCCATGAAGGATTCTGAAATGGTGTCATGGCAAGAAAATGCACATGGTTTAAGTTCTAGGACAGAAGTTTCCTCTCCTTCTCCAATCCGTAGAGGGCTTGATTTTAGCACCACTAGAAGAAGCTGGGGGAGAAGCTGCAGAGCCCCCATTGAAGCAGCGCCTCTATTCCATTGAGCCAAGTGCTGTCTGGGGCCAGGACTTTCCATCTAGCGGCCTGAGATGCCAAAGTGAAAGCAGTGAAATCCTACTCTGGGATTGAAGCAGTAAGAAAGCAACATGGAGAAGGCAGCGATTTGCAGCTTCTCTTCAAGTCCTTGTCTCCTGCTGGATCCTAGGTACGGAGTTTTCCTGTTTCTACTTTGGTGCGTCATGTCACCAGATCAGAAGTCCTGGCCTAGAGGTCATATCCCCCGGACTTGTATTCGTCTCTTATGTATTCAAAACCGAACAATGTGATTTCTGAACAACCATTTTTATTATCTTAGTAACACACCAGAAAAGACAGTCATCCTTTTATATCCTTCAGCTTCCTTTCCTTCTCCACCATGTTTCATGGGTCTACTGATGCGAGGAAAAGTAACAGAGTTAGCTTGTTCCCATCCATGAAGAATGACAAATAAGAGAGTGTTGGAAACCCATTTTACCTTTTGCTGCCTAATTTAACTTCCCCTAGAAAATCACTAGCCTGTTTTCCATGCAAATCTTAGTCCTTCATAACCCACTGTTTTCCCACTAGCTAGAGTTAAAGCACAAACCAATTCAAGGTGGCAATTTATATGTGCTAGGTGCGCTGAGACTTTCTACTAGCTTGAAAGCTGCTACTGGCCCAACACTAAGGCTAACTGGAATCACTGGCAGTCACTTCGCTGACTTAAAGTAGCATTGGATTATGCATTGTGCATAAGGAAAATCTCTCTGAAACATTTAAAATGCCCCAAGCATCTATGCTTCCAGTGACTTAGACAGGAGTCAAGTGGCTCCTACTCCTTCCATGGCCAAGCCAGCTACAAAAGAAATACACATAGTCTATACTCAAGCTTTTCTTCCTTTACTTCAGTCATGGTCTATAAAGTGCTACAGTTTCTAAACAATACTGGAGTAAAAGTATATTTTCTTCTGGCTTCACATTTAAAAAAACCAACTATAAATACATTTAAGAGTAGTGAATAGTTTTCAGCTTTAGTGATAAACTTTTATTCTTTTTAATTTAGTAGTTAGATTAGGGAGACGGACTAGTCAAAGTAACCGCTAGTAATTCTTCATGAAAAGCCAGTAGCCGGATAAACATTTCTCTTCTTCCTGAACATCTCCCACAACGCTTCTGTCCACGTTATCAGTGCACATGCTGTGCCTCTGTAGGTATAAAGGAATGTGGATATATAAAAGCTGCTTACAAGTGATCTACCCATGAGCAGCAAATCCAATTGCACTGCATATGCTCCCAAGGACTCGAAGTGCTTGAGGTTCTGCACCGTCAGCTTCAACATACGAGTTCATTTTTCTTGCTTTTCCACCCAACGTCTCCTCCACGGGGAGCGTTCTACAAAACAGGCTTGGGCTCATCTTCATCTTGCTCCTTCCTACTGCAAAGCGGAAAAGATTCTTGAACAAACTGCCGGCACATGGGGCACTGCTGAAAGTACTTCATGCACCCGTCGCACAAGCAGGCGTGCCGGCAGGGCAGCAAGACCCAGTTCACTGTTGCGTTCTGGCAGACGACGCAGTCTTTACTGGTTTCTTCGTGCCATTCGGGTTCGTCTTCGGCCAGCCCGACCTTCTCCAGCAAGGTTCGGTCAGCGTCTCTCTCTCCTGGGGGGGGATCGCCGGTGGGTGGTGAGCTGTTTGCAGACATGAAGAGTTGCTAAACAGAAACCCAAACAAAATTTCAGCCGTCAGTAACTGGGTTTTATTTGCTAATCTGATGTACCATGGATCAAATACAAACTGATGCGGTCTCTCTTCTCTCCACATGCATATATCCCATAACCATCGTGTACTGTACACCTCAGGGCCAGATTCAGATTCAGTGCAGATGTAAGCGGGCGCTATTCCATTGCCTTCAGCCTCATCCGTTTTGAGAGGACAGAGAGATGCCTCCCTAAATACAGGGAAACCAGAGTCTCAGGAGCTGCCAGTGGTTATATTTATTGGGACCGATCTATTTTGCTTTTAAACTTCAATCAAATCAATACAGATAGAGCAGGAAAATAATTTGGATGGCTTAGAATTAGAAATATTATTTGTAGCACCTGGGAGCACCCGTCATGGCCCAGCATCCCACAGTACGATTTGCTTTCCGCAAATACACAGCAGAAGACAATCCCTGCCCCAAACAGCTTACAATGTAAGTATAAAACAAGAGAAACAGTGTGGGAACATAAGTGAACAGTGAGATGAGGCTGGTCAGTGTGCCCGGCAGTGCTCTCAGAGCTCCAGGAGCTGAACCTGTGTCAAGCTTCTTGTAGGCACTGCGGCAAAGGAAAATTGTAAGGACGGATCTGAAGGAGAAGGTTGTCTTAGCAGAGATTTATGGGAAGCTTCTCTCAAATGCAAGGGGTAGCAAGGGAAAAGGCACGGGGGCGCATGTTTGAAAATCTAACAGGCAAATGATGGAGACTTCATGGGCCTAGCACAGGTGTGTGGCAGGGTCCTGACTGCAAATAAGAGGTGACAGCCAATCTTCACCCTACCTGTGATGCACTTCCAAAGTGAAGGCAAGCAGCTGATGCTACAGGGAAATGGGAGCCAGTGAAAGGTTCCGTAGAAGATAACAATATGACCGAAGAGACCAGCTAGGAAAATTATCTTTACAGGAGTATTCTAGAGGGCTGTTCCTTTAGAGGCAAGACTGCACTTGATACAACCTGCTAAAACGAGATTTCAGGAACCCAGACATAGGATGATACTATAATTAATTGTTATATTATAAAGCAAAGGGTTGAGCAGTGTCCATAATAAATGATTTTCAATATCTACTTTATTCATAATTAATTTGATAACATACACTGGAACAAAGTCAAAGCAAGGAAAAAAAAAATCAATGAGAGATTCTAATGGACTCCCATAGGTTTTGAATCAGGCCTGTTCTGAATACTGACAGAAATAACAGCTGCCACCTATAACCACCACCAAGTCAGTAGGGCCTAGGGGTGACTGGATGGTAAATATATAAACCTGCGTAGGCCTGGTTGCAACTAATTTAGCAAGAACTAAATGTACTTTGTCTTATGTCACCAGGACCCGCATGGTCTGACACAAAGGTAATGACTGGGTGTTGGGAGCAACCCAGAACCAATGGACAGTGACAGCAGTAGGAGACAGGGCCACGGGCAGGGTTGCCAACTGTCCATAAACTTATAGGCGATCTGTTAAGAAAGCAGCCTAAAAATGCCTGTTTGAAAAATCTGTAAGAAAATTAAGCTGTCCTTAAAAAATCCAAGACACGCTCCATTCGTTTCAAGATCTGCTGTCACGATGAAATGTTGATGCCGGACAGAGATCCCATCCCGGCCACAGCAGACCAGTGCCTTCTCCTGATGTCTAAGCATGAACCGTACAGTAAATCGTCTGTTAGGGCTTTCTAGCTCACTGAAGCCTCTATAGCTCCTTCTCCCCTCCTATCCTATCCAAGTGCTGCTGCTGCTTGTAACAGCATCTCAGTGCTCACTCCGATGGTATGTAGCTGCATGGTCCCAGGCAAGGCATGACATGGAGGGAAGGAATGTGTCTGGGATAAAGCTGTGGGGCTGGGAGGAGGGGGGAAAGGCGGTGGGTGAGGGTCTGTCCAGGATGAGGACAGCGGGGCTTGCAAGGTAGCTTGGTGCAGGGTACAGTTGGGGGTGTCAGGGCGTGGGGTGAATAAGGGACACTTGAGGCGCAGGCAACAGAAGAGATACCAGGAGGATGGACAGGGAGCAGGAGTACCTGGAAGGGGGAAAGGAGACCAGCTCACTCTCACAGCACTGGTTGAACATTTATGATCCCACACAGAAAGGATACAGGTCTGTAAAGTCCCCTGATGCAGGAGAGGGGACACTGATACAAATCCCTGTCTTTACTGAAGAGTAGCTTAGGGTACTCGATTGTCAGTGCACATTGATGTTAGGAGAACACAGCAGTTAAACAGTTAGTGCATCTGAGACAGTGCTCCCAATGCTGTAATTCAGCACTGTACAGCAGAGAGGGGATGGAAGGGGTGCGAGGAGGGGACAGCAGGCTAGTAGAGTAGACCACTTGCCTCTGTTAAAAAGGAGAAGATCCTTGAAGATCCTTCAATTATATTAGACTGAAATCTGAGCAGGGTTGCCAACCCAAGAACATTTTTTTACTGACAAGTTGCAGACTTTTTACTACCAACCAAACTTTTTACTATGGTTGGTGTTAACCTCCACATTTGAGCCCGCCCCTTCTAAACTGCTGTCCTGGGCCTGGCACAAGGGTTATATTTACATAATGTAAAACATACATAATTATGAACGCGTGCCAGTGAAATAGTTTGGGTGTCAGTAAAAAATTTGCAGATTGTCAGTAAAAATAATTTTTTGGGGTTGGCAACCCACGAGCCATATTCAGGAACCAGGACTGAAGAGAGACATTCAGGAGCAAGTCAGCAACCGTACTAGAAGCTTGTGTGTCAGTCACCACAGGCAAGCTTAAATGGGGGGCCTGCTGCCCCTTTCTGAAAAGGAGAAAGCATGTGGGGATAGCCAGACTGACACACCAATCAGACCAGGTGGGGCTGGCAATGAGGATCCTGACGGAGCCAGGTCTTTACAATAAGAAACTGTAAAAGTAGCAGATTGATTTCATGGACCTGTCACTGCACGAATGACATTAATATTGCAGTCAGAGTGAAATAAGGCTTACCTTTAGATCATGGAACTGGCCTTGGGCTAGAAGCAGATACTGATACAATACTCTGCAGGAAAGTCTGTAACTCTCATCAGGGACATGAATTATGGACACCATGGAAATCTGGAGAAAAGAAAAGCTGTATTTAGTACTTCCACATTCCATGCACCTGATCTGTTAATTCATATATGCACAGTGACATGCATATCGCACAGACAAGTGGGGCAGTCTATTAGACAAAGTGGAACTACCATGCAGTTTGGTTCGTGTTGCTACCCTATCTAAGTGTTGCCTTCTTTCTACATATGTCCCTCCTGCAGCTAATCCACTCACCACCCCTCTCTGCTCCTGGACTTAGGCACACGAAGTTATGGAAGGCCCATGCTTTAGTAGCTTTGCTCAGCTGGGGACTTGAGAGAGGCAGCACCTCTCGCTGGCTCTTGGCACAGTGATGATGAGTTTTACACAGAAAGGGGCGCTGCCCTCCTCTGAACTGCTGTTGTGGCATGAAGCGGCACAACGAGGAGGCAACTCTTTGAGCACCCAATAAACCAAGGGACTGCAAGTCCAGGACAACTCATACTCCCATGGCTGGATTCCACGCTGCCTTGAACATCGTTGGTGTAGAATCTCTATTGCTGCTGATGACGTGAAAGACAGAACCTGCTATCTGGCTCCTGCACCTCCCCTTGCCCCAGACACGCAGGGCATCGTTTTCAGATCCCAGAGAGCTTTCCGAAGTGTCATCATTTGGTTTATAAACCGAGTGACCCCCAGACACAATCCTGAAAATTAGCAATGGAAGGAACCCTGCAGACTGCTTTCTACAGTCCCTATTCCAACAAAAAAGGCATCCAAAGGCAAGTATGCTGTTTTCAAGCCCCAAAATAATGTAATAGCTTGTAAAGAAAAAGAGCAAAGCCCAATATTACTGCAGCTTCCTCTGATGGTCTCTGGGAAGTGTGATCACCGAGATGTTTCTCTAAAGTTATTTTAAAAGCTTTGGGACACAGAAATGCATTTAGAATGACTCTAGTCAGCGAACAAAAATAAAGAGAACATAGAGATTAAATGCATCATGCATATGTATTTATACTAATTACATTTACCATCCCTCAAGGCTGGGGCCTCTTTTTAATCACAATACACTTTACAGCTTCCTAGAGATGCATTAATTTCATTTTGGCATCCGGAAGCCCCTTATACTCACTTAAAACTGGCAGATTTGCTGCTCAGTAAAAGGGATTTAAGAGCCAACAACTCCTACTGTACTAGTGACTCATTTCAATACAAAATTAATTACTTCTCCATGACTATTTATGTCCCTGCCTGATGGACAGCAACCTGGTGTAGGGCAGAATGGTCAAAACTTGCAGAACTGTTTTGGTTCCCAAGAAAAATTATGTACTAGAAGTAGTGCATAAAAATTGGGTAGTATCCCTCTAAATAATCTGTGCTGTCTCTAGTAGCCATAACCCATGTTTCAGAAGCCACCAGAAGCCTGGTAGAGCAGCAATGAATACAGAATCAGGGGGTTTAAGGCTAGATGGGACAACCAGGTCATATTGCCCAACCCTGGGTATAACACAGGCCTCTGTATTTCACCCATGTACCAATAACTTGTGTTTTACCAGACGCATCCAGGCTGGATTTGAAGACAATCAAGAGACAGAAACTCAACCACTTCCTTGGTAGTTAGTTCTTGCACTCAGTCACCCTCCGCTGCTAAGAAAATGTGTGCCTAACTTCTCATTTAAATTTATTCGGCTTCAGCTTCCAGCTGCTGTCCATTGTTTTGCCTTTTCTTGTTACATTAAAGAGCCCTTTAGTATCGAATATTTTCTCCCAGCAAAGACGCTTATATACAGAATAAGCAGCAACAGTAAATCAGTCACTTCCCAATCTTCTTTCCAATAGGCAGGGATCCTGGTTTTCTCTCATTTAAAAAAAAATCCCCAATTTTCAGTTAAAAAAAACCCCAACCCAAATCCACACTTTTCTGTGATTTAAATGAAACACCACTAATATATATGTAGTGGAGTTTCATTTTAAGCATGGAAAAGTGTGGATTTGGGGTTACTTTTTTAAAATCGAAAATTGGGGATTTTTTTAAATCAGAGAAAACCAGGATCCCTGCTCATAAGTGCATTGGATTTTTTAAGTCTCTGTAACCCTCAACTCATTTTTTGCAGCTTTTGTTGGAATTCCTCTAAGTTTTTGAACATCCTTTTAAAGATCCGGGTACCAGAGCTGTATGAAGGATGCCGGTATCGACCTTGCCAATGACAGAGACTACAGTAAAACCACCACCTTGCTTCTCCTTATATCCCCTGGGTGTGTAGGATCAGGTTACTTTTGGTGGCAGCCCTCTGGTTCATGGGTCACTGGGAACTGCTCTTCCATTAGGGCTCCCTAAATCCTCTTCATGCTTTCCCATTCCTAGGCACAAACTACAATCCTTGTTCCTACATAGACAACTTGGCATTTAGCTCTATTATGAACATATTTTGTTTGAATGGGCTTGTATCACCAGGAGATCCAGATCAGTCTGTTTGCCTTGTCCCCACTGTTTGAATCACCTACTACTCTTGTCAACACTGATTTTATATTTACTTCCAAATCATTAATGGCAATGTTGAATAACTTTGGGTTTAGACTCAATCAGTGCAGAAGCCTAAGGGAAACACCACTTCTCAGCAATGCTTCTCCTCTATTACTTTGTTGAGATCTGTGTATTAACCACTTCAAAAGCCACTTCACATGTATTTTATGATACCCTGTAGTGCTACTTCTTAAATCAGGATGTTATGAGATATTAGATCAAAGGAATTTCAGTAGTTCAAGTATGCAACTTTAATACTGTTCCCTTTTAACCAAAATTGCAATCTCAAAAATGAAAAAGCAAGTTTGCATGAGAAGAATTCTTGGCCACAAATATGTGGTGACTGGTAATAATTATTTTCCCATCCCGCAACTCTGTATTTAATCCCATGTGTAGCTAAACCTTGTATGCTGGGTATAGTTAATCAACAGCTTCACAGGACCCACTGTGCCCATGCGGTTACTTCATATTAAATGTATTGCTTACGTAGGCTTTGTTGTGTCACTTGTCATGCAGCTATGCTGTTAGAAGAGATGAAACATGCTGTATTTTTAACTAATTTGTATTCAATAAGGACATCAAAGGTGTTAATTCAAAGTAATCTATGAAGAATGGAAATCAAAGTCTTGTCTTAACATATCCTTGTCAAACCCTCTCACTGCAGAGTGGAGACCATCTGAAACAGAGTAGAACAGTGGTTCTCAACCTTTTCAGACTCGAGGCGCCCCTGGATAAACCTGAGACCTTTCTCAGAAAATGTCAGCTCTTAGTTTTCCTTCTTTTTTGACTACAGAAAAAATAATAGAGAAGTTTTTCCTGTTGCAAAGAAATCAGAAAGACCACAACTAGGGATTCCTATTGCAAATCTCTGGGTTTATCATGTGAATCATGTTTACATCCCTAACAGCGCTAACACTGTTGCACCCTGTGACCCTCCTGAAGGCTCTCAAGGCACCCTGGGTGCTGCAGCACCCTGGTTGAGAATCAGTGGAATATAATCACTTCTTTATGGATAATTTTAGGCTATTGTTACAGTCCATCAACCCCTGGGAGTATTAATGTGCAAGGGCACAGGAATGGCATGCTGCCCTCCCCATATTTAGTGGGATTAGCCCTCCTGGATCTTGTTGGACAGATGGCCAACATGCTTCCCACCACTTTTGTAACAAGACCAAACAATGACAGAGTGTCTAAGATAGTCTTAGGTCCTGGTCATACCCCTGTCTTTGTCTACGGCAGACAGTACTCAAAATTTCACATACTAGCAAATGCCAGCCGCGTGAGAGCTTTTAAATAAAAAGAACAGGAGTTTGCAGTGAAAGCTGAAGGATGCTCACCTCAGATGTGCTGTAAAGCTTCAGGGCAAAGGGCTTCCTGAAGACTTATACCGTCAAAACAATTTGTGATCAAAACTGTTGCACCATATTAATTTTTACTTAGCATCAGTATAGGAAGAGAGCCAAAAAAATCACATAGGAAGAACTGGATGACTCAGGACTGGAATCACAGAAATGGGATGACATTTAGTAGCACCAAATATGACATGAGCTTAGGGACTAACAAGAATTTCTGCTCTAAACTGGGACTCATCCATTTGATGCCAAGGAGGAGAAAGTCCTACATCAGCTGGTCGTAGGATTACTAAAACCCACTGAAATGATGCAGCCATGGAAAGAGGTATACGATTCCAGGGCGTATAAGAGAGAGGAAAATATTAATGCCATCATACAAGGCACTGAGAAGGCCTTGTCTAGAATACTGTGCACAATTCTTGCCACCTGTGTTCCAAGACAGACAAATTCAAACTACAGCGGTGGAAAAAGGGGTTGAAAAAGAGTTTGAAAGGGATATTAAACCCTTGCCCACCATGGCCTGTAGGCCACCTATGCCTGGCCCGCAAGAAAACCCTGGCAGATAATCTCGGTGCTATGCAGAGGCTAAGCACTCCTTGGATATCATACACATTCTTTTCTATTCTTTCCACAGCAAAATACAGCTGCCTTCGCTCCCTGTCTAAGGAGCCTCCATTACTGCAGAGATCCATCTTTCAGCCGACACGTGAAAGGACACCCAGCCATTCTGCTCAGGACTAACACATGTTCCAAAGCATCCAAACGCTTAAAACCAGCTGGCTTACTGTGTGTTCTCGTGTTACTTACAATGTCATATATTTCTCTGTCTTCTTCTCCAGCTAAAGTCAACAGAGCTACTAGTGGGTAGCGAGATCTGGGCACGGGGCCAAAATCTGTAATTTGAGCATCTTCTGATAACTGACAATATTTCTCTTCCTTGTCGGTTTTTTTAATGCTGTACTTGTGTAAAGGAAAACAATCAATGTCACGGCAATGGAAGGCAAACGCGGTGCTTATGCTAAGAGTATTCTTGATCTTATTCATTCATAAATACACTCTGCCAAGACTTGCAGCATGCTTACAGCCTCGTTTCTCGCTGTGCCAATAAATTAGCATAGGATGTCACAACAATTTTTTTTTTAAAGGATACAAGTACTGCTGTCGATAGAGGTATTCGTTGTACAGAGCATCTTCTAGTGCTTGCGGAGTCTTTATTCTGAAGCAGTAGATGTGTTTCTGCAAAGCTTCATATAGCTTTTGCACACTGCACCCCCAATAGCATGTAAGGAAACAATCCTCCAGGCAGTCGGGTTTCAACGTTATGCCCTCTTGCAGAAAGAACATAAGGACATGAAAATACGCATTGTACACACTGCAAGTCTCATTCACTTACCAGTCCGTTGGAGACCAGAAATGACCAGCTGCCGGATTCATGATTCCTGAAATTACCAACTGTAATTCATTAAAAGCAGGAGATGGGAAGCACTGCAAGTGCCCCAGATTATTTCTTTTTTAATTCTCATTTAATCATTTCCAATTTAGACTGGACTGAGTGCTGGTGAAAGGGGAGTGCTGCTGCTCTGGTTAGCACGGAGGGACAGGTGGGCGCCTCCTTCTGAAAGTGTAACACCAAGACTCCTTAGGGGCAGAAAGGGATGAAGAGGCCGCACTGGCTACTGCAGTACTTTCTTTAGGCACTTATGACACCTTTGTAGGTTTGCTGCTCAACTCTGATGTGCTACAACATGTCAACTGTCTGAGCCGTGCTGAGATCTCCACTCTGATGTTCCCTGGAAGGGTTTGGACATTTGAACAAAACAGCACTTTCAAACAGCAAGGCAAAAATGTCACCAGCCATTGAAGTTTGCATCCTAGGGACACTCAAGTATCCTTCTGGGCTGGGTGGTGTGGACAGGAATGCTGCAAGGCAGGGTGTTCTAAGAGAGGGCTGGGAGTAAAGGGGTCATTTCCACACACCCAGCTGCCCCAATACTTTCCACAGTGGGCACACAGGTCTTTACTCTGCCTGTAAGCACACCCAGAGCTGTGAGGGGCTGCTCGCCAGCCTGGCTCACTCATTTCAATCAGTGCAGCTGAGTGCAAATTTCACTTCCCGGCCCCTCTGAAATACATGGGCATAACTCAGTCCTTGAGTGCATCGCACGGACTTTGTGAGGCAGAAAACTAAAAATACCAGAGCTGATCATCCTCAACTGCTTTTATTACTTAACAAAACCTTCCCCCGTGAGAAAAATGTTTTAATAAAATGAGATTTAAACCACACACACAAGCCAAGTCTTGGGCCTGACTCTTTAGAGCACAGTGCTTTTTGATGGACTGCACAAACATGGCAATTTCTAAGGTGACTGGTGACAGGTTACTGCAATGCAAGCAAGGTTTGGGGAGATACTGGTGAGGGAGGGGCACAAGAACAGGTATCCCAGACAAAAATCCACTGACTTGTTACTGAAGCTGCAGTAGGATGAAGGATCTCCAAGCCAAAAGGGTTCTTCACTTGTCTCATCTGCTTTTTAGATACTCCTGCGCTGGATTCTGTCTCTTCCGAGTTTCTCAAGATCACGGGAACATCCCAACCGAACCTAAGAGACAGCAAGATGTGGCAGTGGGCACATGCTAGTGATGGTGCATTTCAACTAGTTTCCAGATATAAATAATGAGCAATTGCACAATATGTGCCAGGATGCACAGGAGGCAATAGATGCTGGAAATCTCAAGAGTCCTTCACATAACAAGTGGGAATCTTTAGAGCTGGTAGAGAGAAATATTTCACCTTTTATTCTGCGGGGGCAGGGGGGGGGGGG